GGGTATGGGGGTGTTGGTGGGGTTATTAGGGGTTCTGGACCCAAATAAATAAATAAATAAATAAAATTGCGGGGTGCCGACGACCCCCGACCAGTAGGTGCCGACTAGACAACCGGTCGGCTGGTCGGCATCTGACCAGTGAGGGCCGCCGACCGTCAGGGTACGCCACACTGGATTCATACTTAAATTTTGTGAGAGTTTTAGGGAAACGTTTGCAAGTTGACATCCTTCAAGCCTCCAGCTCCACTAATGTTTACCGTCCATGTTTTACATAGCGTTTTTTTGGCTCTGGGCTTATCATCCTAAACCACCGCTACATCCGGGCCTCTTTTTCCCGAGGAGGATTTCACATGCTAGTCGGAAAGAAAACGAACTGCCGCTGTGACATTTTTCTTTTCTTTTGGCTAGCGCCGCCAGCGGCAATTTTGGTGCAGAAGCACTGATTATCGATAGTCTTCAGAATGCCTCATTTTTTATTCTCAACTTTGCCTGGGAAACGTAGTGGCGGTTTAAACCGCCACTACATCGCCCAGGCAAACTTGACAATTGAAATCGAGCTGATCTGAAAATTTCAGAGGCTCAGGGCTACCAGATGAAAATGGCTGGCGGTGCCAGCCAAAGGAAAATGAAAAGCGTCGAGCTGGCGTTTTGGCGAAGCTTTCCACGCAGAAGGCATTGGCCTTGGCAAAAGGAGGAGCAGTCGAACTGGTGGTTAAAGTCTCATTTTTTCAGTTGAGTTTGCTCATTTGTTCCTTGACAATCTGCTCTCTTCATATACTGCAGGGAATCAACGCTTTGGGGTCAGATACGAGTGCGCTTACACTGCTTACATATTCCCTCGATTGGCTAAGGAAGGTTCTTATGTGAATTCTTCACCGAGTTTTTCCTTTGCTGCCATAAATTCTTGACTACGTCAGAGCATATTTCCCACTAGCAGCACCAACTGATTTTCCCCTCCATTCCTCTCCATTTGAGTGTTGCTGACATGTTGACATTCCCCTCCCTTCCTGTCTGCAGCTCTCCCCTCCAGCTTCCATTTCCTTCATCCTCATAAATATTCACCACCAACCAACTAAATCTCCTAGCTCAGCATGCTCAATAACTCAATCAACACTCCACTGCTCAACCAGGAGTTCAAAGCATAATGTTACTGGAAAGCCGCAGCGTGAGCTCCAATGGCAAAGCCAGCTGCAACAACAGTAGAGACCTGGCATGTGTTCTACCTGAGATACTATGTTTGGCGGCTTCCTCTCTCTTCCTCTTTTTCAGCTCTTTCTTCATGGACACATTCTTCACCGGTTGCTTTTCAAGAGGCCCCTGCAACCCTGAACAAGCACAGAACAAAAGGTGCTTCCATGAGGATACCTGGAAAGGAGGGGAAGGGAAGGAGGGGGGGGGGGAGAGAGAGAGAGAGAGAGAGAGAGAGAGAGAGAGAGAGAGAGAGAGAGAGAGAGAGAGAGAGAGAGAGAGAGAGAGAGAGAGAGAGAGAGAGAGAGAAAGAGAGAGAGAGAGAGAGAGAGAGAGAGAGAGAGAGAGAGTGGGTGAGAGAGCGTAGATAACTAATCAGCTGCACCAAAAAATTGAACGGCCAGATACAATTGGAGCACCATTGGGGAAATGATGCATGTTCATTGTCTTCTCTGTCCTGTTTCTTTACACCTCTTTCCTTAATCGTAGCACCCAACATGAAAAACAAACAGAACGGATCCCGCTCCACTACTCTCGACTATCGATTTTCCGACAGTCCAGCCTCACTCCAATTACAGCATCTGGCACGTTTTGGGTGGTAGACCATCTCGGTCCACCTGGCACCCTTGCCCCTTTTCTTTTTTGCTTTGGTGTTTAGAAGTGGATGCGAACGGTCTGCCTTTGTCAGCAACATAAGCAAGAGTCAAAAGGCGCACCGCCCGCACATGGGAACACACTAACCATGAGATGATTCACCTTCGTAGTACTTACCTTTCTTCTCCCATTTGTCAACACAGCACTGACCACGGACATCAGCGACGGATGGCGAGATATAACTATGCTTATAAATATCCTAGGCAAAATGAACTTATCATTTTTTCCAGTTTCCTTCCACTTAAGAACCGCTGATGTTTCCCATACACCACACACATGGAAAGTAAGAAATGCTATCATCAGCTTCCCTGAGCACAAAACGATGACAATGACAGTGAACATCGCAATCAAGGTGTTCGACGCACAGCAATGACGAAGCACGGATGATTCTTCTCAGCATGCAGCTTGTCTAAATGTCTCAGAAAGCCTTGCGAGAGTGTTAGAGTAACGAGATACATCTGAACTTCTCCTTTTTGCAGCATTTTGCTCGAGATGTGCCCAGGCGCTCTGCATCTGCAGAAGGTGTGCAAACTTCCCGCCCATACTAAAATAGTAAAATGTTCAATAATTGGCTGAGCAGGAAATGTTGTGTGTTCCGTCTGGGACATGCAGCATGATGCAGCACTATATCTTCCGTTTGAGAAAGCAGTAGCCATGTCATGAGAAATCCGTTCACTCGGACACCGCACACATTCAATGGCAACGAAGCAGTGAAAAGGACAGAGGGTGATGAGAATAGACAACCTGTCTCAAGAAAAAAGATATCATCAAGAGCTTCCAAATTATCATTGCAGCCTCCAATGAAGAAGACGAGTCCCTTCTGGTCATCAACACAATCTCCTGCCAACGAGAACCGAGGGGAGGGTCGTGCACCTTCCACATTGCTCTTGGTCCACTCTCCTGTCTCTACAGAGGGCAGACGCACCAAGTTGCCAATACATACACAGCCGACACTTCCAATAAGTGGACAAGAGAGGGCAGCATTCGAACTTCAGAAAAAGAATTCTGTCCAATTCGAAGCCCTCATCAATCATTGGCTCCAGTTGGTTCCAAACATCCTGATAAGATTCAATGGCCAGACAATCAACCCCGAACCGTTTGAGTGGTAGGAAATTGCAGCATTCACCTTCAACACTAGATGACTAGTTGCGGCTTCGCTCGCAAAAACAAATACGACAGGTGATGCATTAACGGTGGAGGCAACCGACCAATGCAATCTCTCTCTCTCTCTCTCTCTCTCTCTCTCACACACACACACACACACACACACACACACACACACACACACACACACACAGACACACACAAAAACACACACACACACACACACACACACAAACAGACAACAAAAAAAAAGGAAAAGGAAACAAAGAAAATGATTACCCGAAGCACTGCACCATTTACC